ATACTTGGGCACAATAAGTACGGATTCGTAATACAATAAAAAGCAAAACTCTCATGTAACCGAAAAAAATAAAGCAGAACTCTCATGCACACTGAAAATACTAACCATTCTTGTACGGGAAGGAACGGTTTTGTTCAAGAACACCACTCTCTGGCACTCTGGAAGACTGGAACATACGCAACCATGGGCTAGGGCCTTTCTTGTCCACATCCCACTGCTGGGGATACCGTGGGAATTGCGACATTAAGAAGCAACGCTCTCGATGAGGCATCATGGCAAAATGCCTCCTGATAGGATTTTTAGTACATGTGCAAATAAGGTTAAAGTCACATAAAATACTTGCAAGAATACAAGGCTATTATAGTATAGATGCTCATGCAAGGTCGTTCTCCTCAAGGACTATTTAGCAATTTATGTAAAAACAATTTCCAATTAACTACCTAAAATTAAAAGTTGAGAAACATGATTATGAAATTGTTTGATACTAAAAACAAATTTTAAACAAGAACAATTACGATTGAAGGAAAGAGTTTTAAATACCAATTTATAAAAGCACTAGGGTTTCACCATCACCTAGCAATCCTATGAATTTTTACCAATTACTTATGATTTGCACATGCCACTTTGAAGGTTAGGTTTTCCTAATTTATATTCTACTTGGAACCTCCAACATAGAACGTATATCCAACATGCAACCCGTTCGGATGTTCGGATCAAATCTAAACATGAAAGACTCATTATGTTTTGTGAAAACCCTTTGAAAAACCATGCAACCCTTAAGACGTGGTGTTCATCTTAAGTTAAATTACAATTATTAATCACAAGAAGCCATCGTCAATTTCAGAGAACCTTTCGACCAAAATTGCATCTAATTACTTTTCTAAAGATCCTAATAGTGATCAAGCATTAAGACAAGGGAGCTTTCATTTTAAGACACTATATAGTTTACTAATTTGGAAATAGGAATACAACTTCATCTAATTAGCATAAGGCCAAAGACCAAAAAGTAGTACCTAATTTTACAATAATGTAATTAAAAAACATCAAAATTACACAAAATGCCACTCCCTCTAATTTTACCATAACAACATTACACAAAACCTCCAGCAATCCACCTTCCGGCCAGCCGCCCATCGCTGGGCCAGCACCTGCCGGCCAGCCACAGTAGCCATATTCCTGCCAGTCGCCGCCACCATCTTCCTACCACTCGCAGGCCGCTAGCCACCGCCCACCAGCCGCTGCCACAAACTTCCTGCCAGCCATCACCGGTCACCAACTATGTTGCCCTCAACCTAAAAAAAATATGAAATTTAGTGTGCTTGAAGAGACTCGAACCTTGACCCTCATAGGAGGGTAGCCTATTCACAAACCACTACACCAACCTTGTTTTTGTGATATTTTGTCAGATAGGTAATATTTATATTAACAGTCGAGGATTTTTATAAAAAAAAAAAATTTATTTCAACATTGATACGTGCAAAATTTGTACCAAATCCCACATGCTTAGCTCTAGAGTTCTACAAAACAAAATACTGTAGATATCAATAATGTAAACAAAAACAAAAACTGTAAATAAAAAGAGAAATTGCAAACAAAAACAAAAAATTTGTGCCAACAGCTAGTAAGTAATAGCCAAAACCAATAAAATCATATAATCAAATTAGAAACTGCAATGTAGCACCTAGTAAGCCACATCCCAAAATACACCTACTAATAAGTGAGAAACTAAAAGGCAAGCCATGATGAATGTACTAGAAAAATCAACTTATAAAAACCAAAAAATAACTAGAAAATTCAAATAACAATTCAATCAAGAATATTCATACCTCAACAATAGAAAATCTGAGCTTCACATAAAAACATGAATACTGCAATAGAAGAAGAAGATCGAAAAATGCACTGCAGTTTCTAGAAAAACCAAAATTTCTCATATTTAAGTGGGATTTTAAAACAAAAACAATGTAGATATCAATGATGTAAACAAAAACAAAAGCAAAAAAGTAAAAAAAAACTACAAACTACAAAAAAAAAAAAAAAAAACACAAACTAATTTTATAGAAACAAAAACTGCACTGCAAAGTATGGGGAAAAAAATAAACATATTAATAAGTGAGGAACCAAAAATGAAAAACTATGATGAAAGTACTAAAACGGAAATGGAAACTGCAATGCAGTTTTTGTTTTCTGCATTGCAGTTTCTGATCAAGTGGCAACCACACTAACAAAAAAATAAACCAAAAATCAAAGCCATAATGAAAACAAGCAACTAAACAAAGTCAAAAAGACATATCCATTGATGACACAATTGTATAATTTCCATTAACTTCAAAAATCCTACCAATATCCAATGATAAAACAATTTAGCCAATTGTGATTAAATGGAAACTGCAATGCAGAAAATAGAAACTGCAATGCAGAAAACAGAAACTGCATTGCAGTTTCCGTTTCCGTTTTAGTACTTTCATCATGGTTTTGCGTTTTTGGAAATTCACTAAACTATCTCTAACATAAGCAACCATAAACTAAAAAGGAAAAAAGACCTATTTTTTATTTTTGGGTACAAGGAGACTAAAAGTCACTAAACCAAAAACACCAACAAAACATAACACATACTAAATTTATTGCAAAGACCTTCACTGCACTGAAACAAGAAGACTAATATATTGACAAAATTCTTTTCCTTCAAGCATTCTAAAATCGGGACCAGCATTGATGATAAACATGCTAATCAAGGTTTGCCTTGTTAACAACATTTTTTCATGGCATCACAATTCTGCCATCGACAATAAAATTTCTAAAAACCCAGACATTTTTAGACCAAAGATATGTTAACTTTTAAGACTTACCTTAGGATAATTGCACCAAAAAGTGAAAAAAAAAAAAAACAATCCACAATAAAAAGCAAAAACTACAGTGCAATTATGGGAACAAAAACTGCACTGCAAAGCATGGGAAAAAATAAATATATTAATAAGTGAGGAACCAAAATGCAAAACCATGATGAAAGTACTAAAATAGAAACAGAAACTGCAATGCAGTTTCCGTTTTCTGCATTACAGTTTTCGTTTTCTACATTGCAATTTTTGATCAAGTTGCAACCACACTAAAATAAAAATAAAAAAAAAACAAACCAAAAGGCAAAACCATCATCAAAACAAGCAACTAAACAAAGTCAAAAAGACATATCCATTGATGACACAATTGTATAATTTCCATTAACTTCAAAAATCATACCCGGCCCTGTTTTTCCCCGAAATCTCCCCCTTAGGGCCGGGGACTTGATGGGGACCTAACCCAATGGGGATTTCCTATCCCTAATGAGTAGTGTGTGGAGATGAAGAATGAATGAGAAACTAAAGGGGATAGAAAGGAAATGCAATTAAACTTAAATGGAGAATGCGAAAAGTAAATTAAAGTAAGGCAATGACGGAAATTAAATTGCACTCGATTACATTCAATTGAACTATACATTTTCACTCAACTACTCAAAATCATCTCAATTTAATTTGACAAAACTAATAAAATCATATAATAAAAAACATATGTCCAAAGTTTCACCATTTTACAAAATTTAGGGTAACTTTTTAATTGTTATATTATATTATATATTTAGTAATTAAAAAATGTAATCAAAATCACCTCTAGCATGCTGGAAGTGTTTTTTCAGTAAAATTTCTAAGTGATTTTATACATAAATATTTTCTGGATGAGCTTTAAATTTAATGCAAGTATTTGAAAGTTAAAGGACTTTGGTTATAAATTTGCTGGGCTTAAATCTTCCCACTCATAAATGGATAAACCATTTATGCCTAAACTAGCTGCCATTAATAAAAGTTTATGTCAATTTCATCACTTTGTTTAAGGTAACTTTTTATTTGTTATATTATATAATATATTTTGTAACCAAAAATAAATACATAACTTTTTGGGCCGGATTCGGGGATGGAGATAACAGTACTATCCGCAGGAACTCTCCGAATAGTTGCTGTTAGAGCATCTCCAACTGATGTATCAAAAGTGCCACATAGACATTTAACGGCTAGAAATAACATCTCACATCACTCCAACCGATTTGTCAAAGCTGATGTGGAATGAAGGCTGGAGGTTGAGATGTTATTTTTGACATCCCAAAAACAAGATGTCAAATGAATATTTTATTATTTTTAAAGATAGTTAGTTGTTACTTTCATTTATTATTTTTATTTATATATTTTTTCTTCTTTATTTTAAATGATTTGACTATTATAATAATTATTTATTTGACATATTGGGTGGAATATAAAAGGGAGTTTCACTAAAACACCAAAAATGGGGGTTGAAATTATAAAAAAAAACCCAAGCACTATTTAAACATATAAACACACCCAAAACCCATCATTACACACACTCAAAATTCATTTATAAACACACCCAAAAAGTTGACTTTGTGGTTGATTTTGGGTGTGTTTCTATGTTTAAATAATGCTTGGGTTTTTTTATAAATACATGTCTAGGATTGGGTTTATTTATAAATTTGTAAATATAAAACTGTGTAAATGTTAAATTGCCACATCAACCATCAGATTTAAATTTGATGTTTTGTATTTGACATCTCCCTTAGAGATGCTCTTACAATTACTGAAAATAGAGAAGTGTTTGCTGTTACTCATATCACTGAAATTTCTCAGCATAATTGAAATTGCTCATTTGCAATAAAGCTGTTGTCACCTCTCCCTAGGATCGATGGGTGGGGCTGTGGGCTGAGTTTTTATTATTTTAACTTTAAAAAAAAAATATTTATTTAGTTTTATGTGTTTGACTTTTATTTTAGTCAAAATTACAAATATACCTTTATTAGAAATGAAAAATTGGATGAAATTTGAAAAACTTAACGATAACAGCCAAATTGACTATTTGGATAGGTTTGCTAAATTTACTGATTTTTTTAGTTCCGTGGGTTCAGTTGGATGGGGTTGAGTGGAGGAGTATTTCAGCAATTTGCCCTTTTAGTTATTGTCATTTTATTTATTTTTTAGTTATTGTCACTCCCTCCAAAGTCCAATCTTCATAATTTTCAGGCTTCCACTTTCAGAGAGAGAATTAGAATTAGGGTTTGCTCTTGCAGTGATAAGCAACTCCATGGCTCTGTTGCCATTTAATCACCCTTCTTGCACTCTTCCCTCACCACCACCACAATCTTCTTCTTCTTCTTCTCCTTCTTGTCTTATTAGATATAATTTGCCCTCCAGTTCTCCAGTATTTACAAGTTCTGCCCTCCTCCGCCCTCTCCGTTGGTGCTCAAACCACCACCAGCACAACCACCAGCTCCGGTCTCTGACGCCGGTGAAGGTGACGGGCAGCCTCTCCTCCGCCGTGGAAACTTCAGGTTCAGGCAATAGCAGTCAAGTTGAGGAAGGAGAGAAGAAGCTGCTACTCCAAGTCAAGGATTTAACGGCGGTGATTGCCGAATCGAAACAGGAGATTCTCAAGGGTGTTAACCTCACCGTCTACCAAGGAGAGGTTCATGCCATAATGGGAAAGAATGGTTCAGGGAAGAGCACTTTTGCCAAGGTACCTATTAGCCCTGCCTTGTCTTTGTCTTGTTTGGAATTAATTCGGAACAATTAATCAACTAATTCATATAAAAGATAAAATTAAGAAAATGAAAATGTGCATCCTTACATTCATTTATTGATTCATTAGTTCAGGTTCTGGCTGGGCATCCGGAATACGAAGTTACAGGAGGCAGTGTGGTGTTTAAAGGGGAAAACTTGCTGGAAATGGCAGCGGAAGACCGGTCACTTTCTGGGCTTTTTATGAGTTTCCAGTCTCCAGTTGAGATCCCTGGTGTCACCAACATTGATTTTCTCAACATGGCTTACAATGCCCGCAGAAAAAAATTAGGACTGCCTGAGCTTGGACCAATTGAGGTAGCTAAAACATTCACTGTTTTCAAACCAGCTGACTCTGGTGGTTTAATGCTTCTTTCATATTTTTATTTATGTCATTGTAGTTCTAATGCTTATTTCTTTCCCAAACTTGATCTTGTTTATGTTCATTCATGTCTTTGTTTATCCTCATTGCAGTTCTATGCTTATATCTTTCCCAAACTTGATCTTGTGAACATGAAGACCGACTTCCTCAATAGAAATGTTAATGAAGGCTTTAGTGGAGGTGAAAAGAAGCGCAATGAGATTTTACAACTGGCGGTATGGCTATCATTTGTAGTTAATCTTCTTGCTTACGTGATTTTGATAAAACAAAACTTTATTCTTAAGAAAATGCCTAGTGCGTGTTGCATATATAGTGCAGTTACGATATTTGTATTTCTTGGAAAATATAGTAGTAAGATTTTAATAGGTTGTCATCCCTTCACATTTCGTTAAGCTGTACTTTCTTCATTGCATGTCTTTTCCGTATTCATATGCGTCGTCTTAATGCAGGTTTTGGGGGCAGAATTGGCTATATTAGATGAAATTGATTCTGGGTTGGATGTTGATGCACTTCGAGATGTAGCAAAGGCAGTGAATGGGTTACTGACTCCACGAAATTCTGTATTGATGATTACTCATTATCTACGACTTCTAGAATTTATAAAGCCAACATGCATCCATATCATGGTAAGTCATTGGAAAAAATAAAAACATAAATGGATGAGAAAGGTTTTGGGTCTTAGTTCATGTTTTTTGTTGCATGAAATTAGAAAACAAAAGGAACAAGTAAAAAGGAATTCCTTAAAGTAAGTATGACATTGTGAATCATCTAGGACTACCTAAACACATGGTTTAGAATTTTGCTTTGCTATCTGAATGGTTATGGCCCCATGTAAGCAAATGCGCTATAGGTCGAGTGGATAGAATGCCGTCAGATGCCCTGATACCATAATGGACGCCATTATTATTTCCCCTAGGAAAGAAGAACACATAATTTGCCCTATAATATGCCGGGGAATTTTTTAGTGGCTTTCTTCATGCCTCCCTGTGAGTTGCCTCTCATTTTTATTTTTATCAATGAGTAAACAGGGTAGAGAGTTTTATTATAAAAGCCCCAGATGCTTGTAGCGTAGAAAATATATAAAATGAGCGTAACTTTGGAGCTGCATGTTCTTACTTTACTAGAACTGGAAAAACAAAATCTGTTTCTTTTGTTAAATGAGAAGTTTAATGTTTTAGAAGGCATAGAAAAGGTACTCGATATGGTTGACTGCCAAGAAATTATACAGAATAATAAATAAACATCCGCTGTCTAGATTCACTTTCAGTTTGGATTTAATTGTTTAAATGATTGATTTCATAGGAGGATGGGAAAATTGTGAAGACAGGCAACATCTCCTTAGCAGAGGTACTAGAAAAGGAAGGGTACAAAGCAATTTCTGCAGCATAACAACATGCAAAAAGGTATTGCTATCTTTTTCTCTCTCTTAAACCTCAAAGTATCTATAGTATTTAAATAAAAATCAGAGTCAGTTTTATCTGACTTATTAGTGACTTTGCAACCTATTGTACTTGAGTCAGGAATTTGTCCATTTCAGTTGTTGAAGGTAGAAAAAAAAAAACAAAAGCTGGGTTTAGAAAAGCTCGTGTTGTTACTGATTGATGATGACTGCTACTTAGGTGTAAAACTCCATTTAGGAGGTCCTCCGTTTGGATGAAGGAATTGAAAATTACATAAAAGTCTAAAATTGCGGAATTTAGATTTCCATCATTTCAATTTCTGGCAATTGAAGTTTTCAGTGTTTGGATTTATGTATGTCAAATTTTGTAAATGACGGAATTTTGTGAATGGCACTATGGAAATTGTGAAATGACGCATATTTTGGTGGAAATTAAACTCGGGAATTTGATGCCCCAATTTCCACGATTTTTTTTTGCGGGTCATTTAATAAATTCCGCGCTTAAGTTGCCAAACAAGGGAATTGTCAATTTCTCCTCTTTAATTCCCAACTTTTAGCTAAATTCCGAGTTATTTTCCCTCATTCAAACGGAGGGAATCTTTTGCCCTTGATTTGGTGTCTTTGAAGTTTTGCTCTGTTTTTCTGTATGCTTGTACTATTCTACCTCTTATATTTTTTGGTAGTCTCGATATTGCACACCAGCTCTTGCTTAGCATGTGATTTTCCTCTGAAATTGTTGTCGGAATATTACATATGATGTTTGCGAATGAACTTGACAGTCTTTTACATTGATGTCAAGGTTATGTGCATTTAAGTTTAAAAGCAGTTACGTATCTGTACTAATAATCTAGTGCAACCGCCAAGGTTAGTATTGTAGATGTGGTGACACTGGAATTTGTGGAAACCAGCTCCTAATTTCAGCCCCAAAGGAATTCCAAATTCTTACATTAATCACTCAATCTCGAGGGGTTGTACCAGGGTCCGAATTTTGAAGTTAAAACAGGGATTATAATGCTAAAATTTAATTGCAGACAAGATTAATTTGGAAGCCGAAGTCTAGAACTTATAGGTTTTTTACGGAGCCCCATTTGGAATTTTCTAAAAGAATTTATCGTCATTTTAGTGAAGGTAGTGGATGCTGTCTGGACCTACACAAGAGTCCAGAAAAAGAGTCTTCCCATTTGCATATTTCTCAGTTATCATTGTCTTGGAATGCCAAAAGCTTCCTATCTTGGACGGTTGTTCCAAGGATCTATTGCTTTTAAAACTCCCCATTTTGTTTCTGCTGGGGCATTGAGCATTGAAATGAAAGTTATGAACTTTTATCCTTAAACTTCGTATCTCCTTGGTGGCCTCTCCATTGGGTTGTGAGTTTTCTTAAACTCTGTATCTCCTTGGTGGTCTCCATTGGCGTTTCTTGGGTGGTTAGTATTCCTTTGTGCTTCCGTCTGAGCCTCCGGTAACATGTGGACCTATTGCAACAATGATCCATAGTGTTTTCTAATGCCTTATTCATGACCCTGCATGGTACCCTTGAGGGAAAACGATAGTAACTACCCCTACATGCTTTTAAAGGGAGAAACAAAATACATCTATTAGTAGAACATACCATTTTGCAAGCTAAAGAATTAAAAATAGGTTAGAACTCAATGGAAATATTTTGGCTCAGCACTTTAACTCAAGATGTACCCTCACCACCCTTTTCAATACTTAACATGTGTCCATTGGCATAACCATAATTAACTCTTTACTTTGTATTTATGAAATTATGGTTATGTCAATGGACATGTGCAAGTGTTGAGAAGGGCGGTGCAGGTACACCTTGGGTTAAAGTGGTGAGCAAAAATGCTCCTGAACTCAGTAGGGTGTATCCTAAAATTTGTGTTATTTGCCAATAAATTAGAATCATATAGCATCTAATCAACGACTGAAACCCTACAAGATATAGCATGATCTCTGCCAAAAATAAACAACTCTTTGATAGTAAATCACCCAGCCAAAAATACATACAGAGATTGCAAGTTTCCCTTTTGTAATGTTGGTGATTGGGAATCATCAGATGCCCAAAGTAAAATAATAATAATAATAAATCAATCAATCAATAAAAGCACCAATTCAATTTAACACACTTGAACCAATTCAGACCTAGAATGAATGTATGTATGTGAAGTTGTTTGGAGATTGGGGAAAGGAGTGAATAAAGAATGGGAAGTCATTGAAAAATAAGTCTAGAGAGAGGAAAACCAATTCTGCCTGCCCCATTGGGAAGTCACTGAAACAGTGTCACATTGTAACGTTTAAGATACTTGATAAATAGGACTTTCAGTAAACAACTGCAACTGTGATTGTGGAGTGAATCAGGAGCTGTGAACTGAAATTCCTTTGAAGGACTGTCGATTAGAATTCTATTTCCAGAAACAGTTCAGAAGTTTCTGCCCTTAGTTTGTTGATTCTGAAACAATGACATATGTTATAGGCCAAAATATATGATGCTTGAGGAACATCTGGAACACCTTTGCTTGCATTTCTTGAGCAACTTCAATTGTCTTGCAATTCTCATTAGGAAAGGAAGAAATTACTTGATACATTTGTTTGCTGTTGCATCTGTTGTGTATAAGTCAGGAAATGCATCTGTTGTATATAAGTCCGGAAACTAAATTTCTTTTGGTTTTTCCTCATTCTTGCAGATGTGATAGTCTTCGGAAAACGCAGGTGCAGATGTGATGCAATCTTTGGAAGACGAAGGTGTAGGATCGGGGGACACACATTTTTGACACACATTATAACACACTTTGTAGACCATTAGATTAAAACAGTTTTAACGGTTGAGATTGCATCTTATAATGTCTACGTTGGAAACATCCGAGTTCAATTTTCCTGTGCCTAATTTCCCTGTGCCTTCCTGTTTCTTTCTTAATATTTCGCCACCTGTCCCATACATAACAGAGAGATCACGAAGGTTAACTCGAATTGATATTGAATAATAAAACAAAGGGTTAACTATAGTAAACTCCCCAACCTATAGGATCATTTACGAGTTCATACTTGATTTTGGGGATATTTATGGATACGTACTCGATGTTGCGGAAAACTTACAGATTGCCCCCTCCATTAGGGAAATTGTTAGTCAGTTTGTTAAATGCTGACGTGTCAAAAATGAGATCCTTTTTTCTGATGACGTGATTGTTAGGATTTTGGCTCGTCAAATATGTCCTAGTTGGTTTAGGATTGTTTTAGGAAAATTAGAGGTATACCAATTCTTGTCCTAGAGGGATTAGGAAAGAATTTCAGTTTTCCTTATTCAATTCAGGTTTGGATTTCTAGAAGTCTATTAGGATTTGGATAAGTGTAATTTCCTAATCTACTTAGGAATAGGAATCCAATCAGCCTTGGGACATGTAAGCCAACTCTATATCTATAAATAGGGTGTGGCAAGGCTTATTTTAAAGAGAGAAAAAACAGCCAAGAGTTTTGAGATTAGTTCTAGGGTTGCAAAAGTTCTGTAATCTCTATTATTAATCAAAGGAGCGGTGATTTCTCTACCTAGAGAAATCACAACTGACGTAGGCAAAAGTTCTGCCGAACCAGTATAATTCTTGTGTGTTTCTAAGTGTTTTAATATTTGCTAGTTTAGTCTATTGCCGTCGGTTACATCAAAGAACAAGATCTAGAAGGCGAGTTATTTAACAAGTGGTATCAGGAGCCTAGGTTAAGGGGTTCTATGATGTCTAAAGGGAAGATGAATGCGGATCTAGGACCTGCGTTAAAGCCTTTTGACCGCAAGGATGACTTCACGGATTGGCAAAGGATGATGAAGAACGTACTGATACAGCAAGATTTGGATGATGCACTCAGCGGTGAGAAGCCAACAGGCATGACAGACACAACATGGACTAAGGTTCTCAAGAAAGCCAAGAGTTCCATCGAGATCCATCTCACAAGATCAATTCGGTCACACATCACAGAAAAGATTACTGCCCAAGAAGCATGGGAAAAGTTGGAGAATGTTTATATGGGCAAAACCGTGTCCAATAAACTTTTTCTAAAGGATGAACTATTCGGACTTCGACTGGAAGAAGGAGGTGATATTGAAGATCATGTATGCAGGTTTCAAAATTGCATAACTAATCTTCAGAAGGTCGAAGAAACTTACAAAGATGATGATATGGCTATCATCTTGCTGAGGTCTCTACCTTCGTCTTTCAAGCACTTTCGAACAACTCTAATGTTTGGAAAAGAGTCCCTGAAGCTTGAAGACGTGATTCAAGCTCTTCAGTCATATGCTAAACTAGATGATATAACTGAAAGCTCTCAAGGCCTTTATGCCAAAGGCAAGGAGAGGGGGCGGGAAAAGACAAAGGAAGAGAAAACAGGCAACAGAGGTAGGTCAAAATCCAAGAAGAAAAAGGAAAAGAAGGAAGGTTGCTTCGAATGTGGTTCAGCCGATCATTGGAAGAGAAGAGGAA